AAGATTGTAAATTTTTTTCTGTTTAAGGAGAAAATCTTTGTCAGCAATTTGGATTGTATTGTAGTCGGCTGCTAGAAAATTGAAGCTGACAGCTGTAACGATGGCTAATATCGTCAGAAACTTCATTTTCCAAACTTTTCTAACACATATTGCAGGCGAGACCTATTCTGAACAGCGCTCGAGGCTGCGCCCGCACTTTTATACACCTACGTCGAGCGCGCAATCAAAATGATAAGTCATATAAGGGCACTGGACAGTGGACAGTGGCTACGTTTACACCGTGCGCTTAGTTCGCGACCTATACGATAAGTGTCTTTGTTTAACCTACAAGATAAACAAGGACATCTATTGTATAGGCCGCGGCCTAAATGCACGGTGTAAACGTAGGCAGTGGACACTGGAATCGTTCGAATTCAATATTGAATTCTTCATTCGCGGAAAGCGAATGCTAAACATTATATTCTTATTAACTTTATTTTATCAAACAGATTTATTGCAAACATAGGCCACTTATAAATTTAATAGTTGTATTTATCAATTAACCATTAACCGCTTCATTTAAACTGTTGTCAATAGATACAAATCCAGTTGCTAATTTTTTATTATTTCCTGTTGTATATTCTGATAACACTGTATCTGATACAGTAATTCTATTTGATATAATATATGAGTCTTTTTCTTAATTTTCGACACATGCGGTAGCAAAGATTATTCAAGACAGAGATAAAGAACAAGTATGATACACGCGCGCGCGCTCGTACCATTTTATATATTTTATATATATATATATACATACACGTATATATTTATACCAAATGGTTTCTCTGAATATGTCTTGTGTCACACCAGATAAATGCCGTTGAAACGAATATCATTAAACGAGTTGAAAGATTCGTTCTCGTGCGAAAGGTCATCACGCTGGATGACTTCGAACACAGCTGATCTACACGAAAGTATACTTTTGCGCAAATTCTATGCAATGGATCCTGTTTACAATAACGAATACAAACTAAAATTCTTTCCTTAAAGAATAATACGATATTAATTATAACTATGTATAAGTAGATATAAATATAAAATAACGTAGTAGATTTATATTACTCATGACTTTTGACTCGAATTGAAATTATAAAAGTGTCTTATATATATCAGTAGTATAGCGATTTAATTGAGTTTCAGTGTTTATATATAATTTTATAAAAAAAAATCTAATAAAATTCTTTTTAAAAATATTTGTTTTTTCATTGTGAAATCTGTCATTTTTACCTTAACAAGAATAGAACTTAAGAAGCGATACGATTTACTAATAAAAAATTGCTTTTAGATATAACAGTTACAATAGCAACTTTTAGATTTAACAGTTTATAAAATATTTCCTTTTTACTTATATGTGTGTAAGATTAAATTTTATTTAAAAAATATTTATATTTATTTCTATTACATATGTACATAATACATATAAGTTAGTGAAATATGTATTTCTAACCAGCCCGCTTACACACACACACACAAACGGATTGATAGAAATATTTCATTAATAAGTATATTAGCTAGAGATTAGTTAATATACTTATTATACATATAGTAAAAGTTAAAAAATCAACTACTTCATAAAATTATAAAATATATTTTATTTATTCATTTATAGATATAATTAATTATATATCAGATATTTTATATCAAGTACATTATATAATACATTACAAGAACATATTTTATAAAATAAATAAGACATTTTTTTCTATTTGGTACAATAATTTATTACATTTACGGACAGATGAAATAAAATAAATAATTCGCAAACAATAGCTTTGTTTTTTAGCTCTTGTTATTAAGTGTCAATTACACGTACTTAGAAATTCGATAGACAATAGATGCACTTATTTTATGCAGTGTGCAGTTTGCAGATTAAATACGTCGCGTCGGTCGGCAAAAATTCTGTATGATAAGTCGATAGCACAACAGCTGTGCTTAGATGACAACAGAAAGGATATGTATATGAATAATTAAATTTGCCTTCTGGAAAGGTCATATCTAAACATTCGTAAACTAATAATTCTCAAAAGATTCTCGTTTTATAACCTATGATAAGCGCTATAAATAAGCTTGCACTGTACTGTTTTGTTGTTATATAACTACAGGAATAGCATAAACATAGCCATTTGTTTCTTTGGTGATATTTAATGACGGTATATTATGTAAAAATAAATTAATCTGTAAAATTATAATAGATTGTATAATGTGCACTGTCGGAAATCACACATTTTGAACGTAAATCAAAATTATTACTTGCTTGGTTTTTCATCGTTCATTTAAATTCAATTAGAATAACGAGAATAAATTTGAATTTTTTAAATAATAAATCGTATCTTTCATTGTGACGATTTGACGAATGTATTCATCGTTTTAGAAGATCAATAATGATAATTATTCATTTTATAAATATCAAAAATTTTTAGAGAAATAATGGTAATTAAATTTGAAAATAATAACTGTTGTTTAAAATGCTTGCAATAATTTTAACCAATAGATTTCACTGTCGAAATAAATATGTTGATTATGTTCATGCATGTTAATTTATATAAAATACATTATTTCTAAATATATATTTATTATTTTAAAAAATACAACATTCTCATCCTTATTAAAGAATACGCTTATCACAAATAATCGTATAGTGTCAGTAAGTCATACTATTGCAATTCACGGTTGCCAGGTCCCGAGCACTGTACGGCTGGGG